GCGTCCGCCTCCCCCCGCTGCCCCTGCCGCTGCCGCTGCTGCTGCTGCTGCTGCTGCTGCTGCTGCTGCTGCTTCTCTCCTGATTCCACTCTATGGGAAAGTATGGGAGAGAATGTGGGAAAGGAAAAACCCAGTGAGGTCACGTAGAGGAAAAGGTTAATGAGCGGTTGAGCAGAAAAGACACTAAGAAGAAGATGGTACGCTTCATAGAAATGAAAAGTAAACTCACATCTGCTAACTGGATTTATTTACGTAGTTATTTACGTAAAAAAAATGGTTAAAACCATTTATTTATTCAGAGATTTTAAATAGAGAAAAAAATAAAAGTACTTTTAATGGGGTTGACTAATTCCCAGGCTTGTCACAAATTTAAGTATTAGGATCAGCACTAATGAAGCATCCACCAAAAGCCGTGTATTTAAAAAATAAAGGGGGGGCATAACAGTTGTCAGGTGAATTTTGTGGTTGTAAAAAAGCCCTCCAATAATTACAACTAGCTTTTACTGGCAAGTACCACGCTCCAGTGATGGAGTATCTCGATGTACTGTCAAATACCCAATACAGCAGTGTCTCTTTGCTCCCTGAATGGGTGCAACAACAATATGGTCATCATTATGTCACGCGAAGAGGAGGCCGCACATTAATGTTTCCTCATCTGAGATTGATCAAAAGACAATTTGTGGTCCAGTGATTCCACTGTTCAACTTCTTTTTGGGAAAAACAGACACAGTATGTGTATAACATTTAAAAAGGAGCGTTATTATTTAGGTGTTATTACACAATTTAGTAGACGCTGCTGATTTAAATCTTTAAAATATTAAGATTCCGTAATCGAAGCTGAATTTCTTAAGGGTTTTTTTTTTTCAGCACACCTTCCTTGCAAATCAGGTTTGTGAAAAGAGAGACACACGCAGGGTTAATTTTAAAGGGGCCTAGAGAAGGCAAAGAGTTACGGTACATTTGTGGAACGTGACTTCTCCAAATACCAGGAGCAGACAGGCAGAGAGAAGATGAGGAACTCTGATAGATGACTCCTCTGACATGTCGTTCCCTCCCTGAGCCTAGAACAGGCAGGACCGGCCAGTCCTGCGGCTCAGGGGCCTTGACAACCACAGGGCTGTGTGGAGGGTGTCTGTGAGTGTACAGCATTACGTCATCCCGTACCGCACCAGTCTGTATGTGCGAGCACAGGTAGAGCACGGCCGGCATTGACAGGAAGCCACCTGCCTGCGGTGTCTCACCTCCTGATGCTCTGACACCGTTGTGAAAAAGCAGATGTTGTGGACTGATTAAGAACGCTCTCAGTAGACGAAACGTCCATGCCCACAATCTGTTGGATTTTAATCAGTTTTCCAAACTGTGCTGCGGTCTGTTCACACACACACACAAACGTGGAGATTATTTTTCTTTCGTTATTGTAACCAGACATCTATTTCTGATTAAGGTTTTTGGGAGGCTGGAATTCTGCAAAAGTGACATCTTAATTCTGGTGTTGGACCGAAAAATAATAATTTCCACAGCGCAGTGAGAAGGCCTGGTGATTAGCATTCACAAAGCTGGAATAAACACCCAGTCCTTATTTTGTCATTAATTTAAAATGTGAAAACTCTGCTGTGTGGAAAGCTCTGGGTGGTTTATCTGAATTCTCCATTCCTTCTGGTCCCAGGTGGGTCAGAGCAGCCAAACCAGGGGCTTCTGGGAAAGATCATTAGCAGTCAGATAACTGTTAGCTGAGCCGGGCACTATCACTGTTAAATATACTGCAGTAATAAAGACTCCAAAAGTGTTTATAAAATATTATATTTTCCACAAGTCGGTGCAAATGACAACAGATGGCGCTAGACAGTGGCTGAATAATGCAAATAGTACAGCAGCATTTCTGAAATATAAAAGCTGGTGTTTAAAAACCTGAGGTTTCATCCAACCAACCAATCAGCAGAGGAGAAACAATTTTAATCACTGCTGGGTGTTTTTCACAAACTTAGTTTCCCTTCATATTAAATATTGTATATTTTGGGATTTTTTTTAATGAGTATGAATTACATTCAATAATAAAGCACCCAGTGTTTTTTGGCCCCAGTCACTCATTACTTTTTTTTTATGTTTCCAGAATGGTACTAAATCCTGCCATTGGATGCGGGACCAGCATCCCCTGCAGGAGATGAGGGTTGCTGACAACATGAGCCCCCCACCCCCTCGCTGACAATCTTGTGCTCAGGATCTGCTCCAGAATCTTGGACCTGAGGATGATTTGACAGAAAGTCGACAACGCAGGATATTTCGCAGCTCATCTATTAGAAACAGAGACGTTTCCCTCGTCTCAGGAAATGCTCAACAAAAGCCTTATTGGATCTACACGTCATGTGACTGCTTGTAAAGGGCTGGGGATTATTATTTTCTTTATGCATCTGCTTTTGATATCCAGTGCTCATTCACCATGTTTTTTCATACAGTAGTTGTGACATTTACTGTGTTATTTTGGGACGAGTTTCCAGAGCTGGGACTATATACGGAAAACAGTCAGTTGTTATTATTTTTATTTATTTTTTTTCTGTTTCTGCAAAGTGGCCGTGGTTGGGGAAAAAATGCAGGCAGAAAATGAAAAATGTCTGAGGAAACAGAGCTGCGACAGTCAAACAGAAGCTGTTAATTAAATGGTGTAGAAGAATGCAGAAAAACTCTCTCTCTCTCTCTCTCTCTCTCACACACACACACTCACTCTCTACAGACACTGCATTTTAATGGCATACATTGACACCCGGCGTTTGATTAATAATCCTGTCAGTGTGCTTATTTGCATGATGATTAATTGCTCTTTTGCATTAGTTAAAATCTGTTTGCCAAAATTAAAAAGGAGATACAGCGAGCTGTCTGGACTCTTATTGAATCTGTGGATGATTAATATCATTAGTGAGATCATTTGTATTTAAATCTGCCGGTTGTTACTGTTTGTCATGAAGACATTATTACAGTGATCCCTTGCTATACCGCGGTTTACTTTTCACGTTTCGCTACTTCACGGATTTGCATCGTGCATTGTGTTCTGCATTCTGATTGGCTAAAAAGTCACTCGCTTCTTCTCTACCTGTGCGCCAATAACGTTGCGGTTTAATATGTACACGTACGTAAAACAGCTTGCCAAATTGACATTACGTACGTGCAAATTATCTTGCAATTTCGAGTTTATCAAACCCCATAATGTCGACAAAACGCTCTGGACCGGCAAAAGTCCCTGCGGTAGGGACCAAAAGGCAGCGGAAGATGCTGTCTATCGGTGATAAAGTAAAACTATTGGACATGCTAAATGAAGGTAAAAGCTATGCGGCTGTAGGTCGGCATTATGGAATTAATGAATCTTCCGTTCGTTCCATAAAGAAGGAAGAAAAAAACATAAGGAAGACAGCAGCAATAAGTTTTAATAAGGATTCAAAAAGGGTTGCAACTGCCCGCAACAAGACCAGGTAATTTGTATTTTTTTCATAATCATTTTTAATTTTCTCCCGTTCACGGTGGGCGGTGCTAATCTCCGCAATTTGAAGCCTTCTGTTCACGTTGATGATTAAAATTATTATTTGACAGTAAATTACAGAAGTTATTTGTTGAAACGTTTCTAAAGTACTTTTATTTTACTTTATTTGTGAAACAAATGGTTGAGACTGTAAAATGGTTTGTTCGTTCTTTCTCTTCTTTTTCTGAGTATTTAATTGTAAAAAAAACGTAACCCCCGCGAAAAACAAGGGTTTACTGTATTGTTATTTTCACCATACTTCTGTCGCCAGTTTTTTCTCTTATGTATTATAGTTATACATTTGTGGGATTGTTTGGGAGTGGGGGGATTTGTCCCACAAATGTATAAGTGAGAATGCGGGAAAATAAAAGTGAAAATTTAAGACCGGCATGAATTTATATCTACTGCTGACCTCCCTCCTCAGTCAGTCATTCTACTGCTTGTGTTTCAATTTATTTTGGTTTTGTTTCTAAGTTCTTTTTGACTTTCCTTTAAGCTGTCCATCACTGCCACTTTCAACTTTGATTGAAAAGATTTGGCCGAGGCGATGAAGCAGCGGGGGATGGGATTTTGGTGTGAAACTGGTGGCTAGTGAAGACCCCAGGGGGTAATTACTCCTCAAGGGTGTGCTATTTGTCATTGTTTTAATCTGCGATAAAACAAAGCAAACTCGTTCTGTCCTCAACTGCTGTGCGTTGGCATCCGCTCCAATGTGTCACCTTGTCTTTACTGCTTGTCTGAGCCTTATATTGAGACTCAAACATGTCAGCGCTCAGCCTCATCACCTCAGAGAAAAATCTGAGTTGCAGAACTCCCAGCACTGATGTCGTTCTGGGAGTTGAGCTTCATCACATCCTCACAGCTCCGCTTACGGTCAACAACATTTGCATGTTGACAATGCACTTCCCCACTCGCCACTCCCCCCACCTCCCGGCCCCCAGCCCCCATTTGCTTTTTTTCACACACATACTGAGCGCAGGGGGAAAGTGACCTCTTTGCAGCTCTCAATTCACTGCACTTGTATAGCCTTGAATGGACCCACACAACAAAAGGTGACATAATTTTCTCAGGGCTTGATTGGCCCCCTCCAGGCTACAGGATGACATCATTCAATACCCCAACCCATCACGACCAGCACCAGTACACACAACCAACACCTCCCACTGCTCCGTGTACTTGGATGCTGGGTTGCCATGACACCCGAGTTAAGCCCAGGCTGTGAGGCAGGCCTTGGCAGAGCTCCGTGGCTGGGCTGTGTATAATGAGCTCAGCCTGCGTTGGTTTGTGTTTGCAGTAAACACTCTCTGGTGAAGAGATAGACGGAGACCAGGGGGACGTTGGCTTTGATTAGACAGCGTTCTCCCCCGTCCCACCACCTCTTCACTCTCGGTGACTGTTGACATTTCGTCCTAGTCAAGTGACAAACTTTTGGTTTCAAAATGAGTCAAACACTTCTGCTTTTCTGAACGTTCTGCCAGGGTTGAAGTGGAAGTTTGGTGATGTCTCACATTCTCTGTCCTGAGTATGAAAACATACTGTGCGTCTGTGTCCTAATAATGAAGATGCTGGGTGTCAAAATTATTCTAAAAAGAAAAAGGAACAGAACAGGATTTAGCGTTCAGCAACTGATGACTGATGGCTAATTTTTTGCAGGTTTGTAGAAGATTTGTCCATTTCTTTCTTGCAAAAAAGACTCTCAGTTGTTCCACTGTCAGCAGCTGCCATTTTTAGATTCTTTTTTTTATGAGGCACCAGATATTTCCGTAAGAGACAGCTCAGGACTGTAGGCCAGCCTTCAAGGGTTGCACTCTGACTGATAACAGTTTGGATGTGGTTTTCTTTTTATTTGTCGTCTGCATAAAATCTGTTATTTACTTCAAGAAAACCTGAGTCTGAAATAAAGACAGAAAGTGGTCTTAGGAGCAATTTTTGACACATTCAAGACTGTTATCAGTGGCACAAGAATTTATTAACGATTTATCCCCTCTGTCTAGAAATACTGTATATCTGTGTGGATTCTTGTTGATTCCTTCATAGGACGACAAGGTTTCTTTGAGTAATTGGGTCGGTCCATTCGCCTACGTCTAAACTTCATCATCTAAAGATGGCATTTGTATTTTATTTTTATTATTTTTTGAGTCAGAGACTCAAAGGGTTCATGCTCTTTTTCCAATAATTCTATTCTGTACAAAATTTACTAGAGGTTGATTGCAAATTTCCACCAATAAACTCCTGCCCCTAACCCCCCCTCCCCCTTTTTAGCCACACTTTTAAAATATCGGTAGTTATTGGGGTGTTTCTCCAGTCATTGGTCCATGACGTCAAGTTAGAAATTCTGGTCTCTTCAATGACATTAGAGCCAGAAAAGTCACATTTGCCAGTTTGTGACCCCGGCTAATAAACGTCACTTTTTATTCCAGCGAGCATTTAGAATTATAAGGTCCTTTTCACCAGAATATCACATATGTACAAAGAGCCGTTTCCCCTTGGAATTGTTGGTAATGAGGGTAATTTGAAGTGAGGTTGACATGCAGCCCAGAGCCAAACCTTGTTGGTTTCACATACTCCTACGGCGTCAATGTCTTTAAGTCCACTCCAAACCATTTCCTAAGTTTGGGACTGCATCCGAAAGAAAATTACACAATTGCCAAACGGTCTTAGAAAAAAGTCCACGTTTGTGCAAAAAAAAGAAAAAATTGTTACTTGAAGTGAAATGTATGACGCAAGGTGCTGTTTCTACGGATTAGCATGGCTTTCAGTGGGCTAATTTAGATAGCTTCCCTGTGCCGTTCCCCAGTGTCTCCAGTGTGCACAGTGCCAAGTGTGTTACCCACTTTAAAGCGGCCTTCTCTGCAGCACCGCTTTGATATGATTAAGTGTGGTGAGCTGGTTTGGCCCCTCCTTGGATACCAATGAAATAAAGCATATTGTAAGTGAGTTTGGAAGAGTGCTGACAGCGTATCGGATACCTTTGGCATTCATGGGCTGAGTGGGCTCCTGCTGACCATTACCTCCAGTTACTCAGCTCTGCCTGCAGCGCTGGGAATCCACTTCTTTCCCTTCTCTCTCCATTTTCCACGATGGTGCTTTTTTCCGACGGGTTTTCACTTTTAAATGTCTTGAGATTTACCTGACTTCCATTGGCTTCTATGACTATTTTTCCATCGTAAGAACTTTACCAACAACAGCAAATCGGTCGCGACATCACAGCTACGTTTCCAAAAATCACCAGACGTGCTCCAGTGCTATTGGTTTATTTAAGATTGACAACCCTAACCGTCAAGGTGACATAGCATGGCACAGCATCCCTCGTTTTGGGCAATCCTCCTCTTCTTGCCTCTCCATCTCTCGGTTTCTTTTTCCCCTCGCTCTCTTAATCCTCATTTAGAGGCAGGAGGGGAGACTCAGGAAGCAGGAGAGGATGAGGAGGAGGAGGAGGAGGTGGAGGAGGGGAGAAGCAGCACAGGCCAAAGACTCCACTGACATCCATGGGAATCTGCAGATCTATTCATTGGTAATTATCAACATCAATGTGGTGAGAGGTAGGGGCAAGGGAGGTGTGGGAGAGTTTATGAGGGAGGGGCCCGGAGGGCGGGAGGAGGAGGATGGGTTAGGTCGAGATGGAAACCGAGGTGCTAGTTAGAAGAGCCAGTGGGTGTGAACGTATGAGTTGGACACATTTGAATCAGAGAGCATTTCCCCCTCTGTCGCGTCTGGCTTCTGTTCTGCAGAAGTGAGTCTCAGAAGAGACATATTTATAGAACATCATCACAAGTTGTTGGCTGATAGAATGGAGGAGGGTTTCCTTCTTTTAATTCGTCATCAATCAGTAGTGGAAATGATGAAGGAGATTATACAACGATGACAAAGATCACATCCTTTTACAATAAACGGTTTCCTTGATTAGAAAAAACTGACGTTTTACAAAGGCTGATAATAATGATCTCAGAATTCTTGCTCTTCAGCCTGTGTGTGAAACCAAAGATTATTATGTAAAATATTGTGCCGTGTCTCGGGCATTTTATGACTTTGACTTCTCCATACAGAATTCTAACTCAGAGGCCACCTCAAACTCTCTGGGTTCTCTCTGCTCCAGCTGAGAACGTCTTTCCCAGCACACTGAAAATGTATGAACTTGTGCCTAGCCGCTGCAGAGCCAGATCTGTCTGGTGGGGAAATTGTGACAAATGATTTTTTTTTATTTCCTCCCACTTTTCACATGAAATCTGATGATTTTCCAGCAGCGTCTGAGGATTGACCTTTGCTTAAATGGCACGGTGGAAGAATCAGGGAAGTATTGAGAATACTGAAAAAGTTTTTAGAAGCACCCTTTACCCGACTGAGTTTGTCATTTTGTCTCAATGTGAAAGAAAGGTCAAGTCAAAGGTCAGGTCAGTACTTGTCTACTTTGTTAGCAAGCCTATTTATATTCAGGGGTTTACCTTGGGAAACAGGGGAAACACAGAGAGATAAAAAATGTCTCATTATACTGGTTTCAGCCTGACGGCCTGTCAGTCGTTGGGCTAAAACACGTCTTAATCAGTGGTTCTTGAATATCGAATTTTTCCAAATTGTTTTTAT